GCCATAGGTTGCCGACCCCTGACCTATTCTGATCAAAACTAACAAAGGTGAACGGGTCTGGTCTTGAGCTAGGAGTTTGTTAGTTCTTAGCTAATGCCTGCAGCCTGGGCAAGAGCTGGCATTTGGCCTGCCAGCATCACAAGTACCACCCCCCTCTCCCGATAATATCTTAGCACATATTCAAATCAGGAAACTAATTATAGGCCCAGACATATTGAAACATTTTTCTTCCTTCTTTCTGCAACGTAATTTAAACTGCTCTTTTTTTTTTTTTAAATCCCCTTCATAATCTTCTGCAGTAGATTTGAGGAATTATGGAGTAACTGTTATACCATTATTTAAAAAATAGGTCTTATTTTGTGCATCACGGCAATGATGTTCTCAGTTATCCTCATCTCGTTGGAGAGGGCGTTCCACAGTTATGATTTCTATGGATAGATACACCATGGTATGAAACTTCTCTTTAACTCTCCATAATGTCTTGTCCCCTCATCCCCACGCATACCGTCTGCTTCTTCTCCACAACAGACTGCTCCTCATGTTTCCCATGCATACTGTCCTCTCACCTATGCTCATGTTCACTGTCCATTCCTCATGAGCAAGCCCCATAGCCATGTCTGCATTCATGACATTCTTTCCAGACCACAACGTCTATAAAAGAGATGTCATATTTTAAAATGAACTAGCACAGCAATCTGGCCTCAGTAAAACTATTTCAGTAATTAATTTGTGACCTATGGTGTGGGGAGAAGGGTGGAGAATAAGAAAACACAGACCACCACATTTTACAAGGTCTCCTGGATCTGAGGTTTTGCTGCCCTCACAAGCTATTTCTTGCATTTGCAGGGCTCACATCTCTAGGCTGAGTTGATGAATCTCATTTACTTGTTAATCTGAAGCATTTTTCCCCGTCAAAGGTAATTCAATTTAATGTAAGGGTGATTCTAGCCAAAAACAAGCATACTTTTCCCCCCATGCACTCCTTCCTATATATATTCTACCATATATAAGATACACTGGCTCCAGTGGATGCCATATATATCACATGTATAGGGTGACCTGATGTCCCGATTTTATAGGGACAATCATGATTTTGGGGTCTTTTTCTTATATAGGCTCCTATTTACCCCCCCCCCACATCCTGATTTTTCACATTTGCTGTCTGGTCACCCTACACATGTATCCGCTGGCCCAAATTCTGCTATCATTCGCACCAGCACAAGCCTGTTTAAATCAAGTATGATTGCATATTTTGGATCACTTCTCTATTTTTTTCATGATAAGTATTCTTTCTTCTCCACATTCTCCTGGTTTCTTTATTCCCAGTCTCTCTTTAGCAAACATGAGCCTACAAGTCTTTAAGAAGTGGCTTCTTGTTCCACCAGTATATCTCCAGTGGCTTCAGAGGAGTTACGCTGGATTAACACAGGTGTAAATGAGATCAGAATCTGGCCCTGAGCTGGAGCAGATTCAAAATTACCAAAATGAGTTCACTGCAAACAAAGTTATATTCAGGAAAGTTTTTACAAATGGCTGTCAATGGCAATATATTAACATGCCATTCCTTACATATGACAGCACTTTCAATGGATAGGTGAATTTACATTACAAAACCAGAGTATATATCTACTATGAAGAAGACAAGCACTTCCATTGGCACCAGGATGCCTTCAATAAATCAGCCAATGTATTATTGTTTGGCTTTGGGGGCAGTTGCAGGTAGTCAATATTTTTTTGTAAAGGAGGAGATTTTAAAAGGACAAAGAGCAGGTAGGTGCTCAATCCCCTTTGAAAGTAAATGGGAGTGAGAATCCTAACGACCCTTTATGCCTTAGAAAATCTCCCCCTTAATTACAAGTCAAGCCAAAACCAAATAGCAAATATCTTATAAATGTTTATTACATACTCCCTTTTCCCTCATAGGTGCTTGTCTTTTTAGGCCTCATGATTGCAAATAGTTAAGCACACGCTTAACTTTAAGCCCGTGAGTAGTTCCACAGACGTCAATGGGAGTGTCCACATGCTAATTAAGGGGAGGGTCAGATTTACCATTTATTCAGCAAATTTATCAGGCCATCTTTCCCTGTAGAATAATCAAACAGACAGTTCTCCAGACCTGGAAGGAGTCTCAATCTCTTTATGGCTCTCCACAGCGGGTAACAAGAAACATGGAGGCACTGAGGAGAGTAGCATCTGGGGGGTGCCAAATCCTGCTCCCACTGTGCCACTGATCTGGTCAAGATCCCCATGCGGGCAGCCCACCAGATTGCTGAAGTGGTATCCGCAGCCTCTGGATCCCTGAATATCTGAAGCCTCCAGAGTCTGTACAGGCATTGTCCCAGTCTTGGGGTCCCTAGGCACATCCTTGATCCATTGTCTAACACTCCCTCCTGAGAGCTGAAATCTCATGTTCCCCTGCCCAAGCCCTGGAACCAAGACTCCCTGTTAGCTTGAATGCATCCTCTCTGAGAATCCCACCAAAGGTATGAGCTTTCTGGTTTTCCTCTTCAAGGGGTGACATGGTAGGTGTAGCATATACCACACACAGACACTCTGCATAGAATTCTACCATGCTGTTGCTCTTTACTTAATCACATGATCTATAAAAAAAAAAATAAACTCTACACACATTTCCCCATCTTCATTTCCTCACTGCTGCAGGGCATTCTTTGGGCAGGGGTAGGTGTCCTCTGGGGCCATCCAGGTCTTTCTGCTGCAGAGCTTGCCTTGAGTTCCAAAACCTACAGTCTCCTCCCCCAGCTCACCTCCCCTGTTCTTCTTGGTTGATCTATGCCCTTCCTTCTTCCTTCCCGCACTTTCTCTGAATATCTCTCTTCTTCCGCCCTATGAATCCTTATTTAAACCCATAATTTGTCACCTAGCATCTTTTGTTCTGTTCCTGGTAAATTTCTGCTCTCTGCTTTCCCCCTCTCCTCAGAGAGGTCAAGTAAAACTAGTTTCCCCTAAGATGCAGTTACTCGTTTATTCTCCCCAGGTAAGACTTACTCATGTGCTGATAGTCCTTCACAATTGACTTGATCTGGCAGAGATGTGTCACAAGTCATGTCTGTTCAGGGTGGCTACACATGCAAAGGGGCATTCATGGTACAACAGTTTCATAATACTTTCATCATAACCGCATAATATCAACCATCACACCCTGCTCATGTAAAAGTTCTATGGTAGACAATAGGCCAGATTCTCAGCAGGTGTAATGTCATCTCTGCCAATTTACACCAGTTGAGGCTCTAACCAAATGTGAGTAAGCTGATAGGCTTTTCCCACTCTTGCACCCACAACTCTTGGTTAAGGGCTTTGGATAACATTTTCAAAAGCATGTAAATGAATTAGGCATAGACCTGAGCAGGAAGAATTGCTGTGATTTTCCAAATATTTTCCTGTCCTGAACTGAGACAAAAAGTTGAAATCTTGAAAAAAATCTAAAATCCATAAAAATGTCAGTTCAGGTCAATTAAAATGTTTCATTTTAACTATGCCCTTTAAAACACACTTAACTATACATTTACTTAAATGATGTCATTCTGACATGAAAAATAGAAATTGTTTTCATTCAGAAAAGGTCCAAATAGGATGTTTCAAAAATTTTGAAACTTTTTTTTTTTATTTGAAATGGGAAATACATCAAAACGGACCCCTTTCTGCACACAGTTTTGGATTGGACCAATTGGCATTTTTCGACAAAAAATGTTTAGTTGAGAAATCCCCAACAAACTCTACTTCAGAATTTAAGTCCCATTTTCAGAAGTGACTTGGGCATTTAAGTCCCATTAACTTTCAGTGAGACTTAAGATCCTGAGTGCCTAACCCACTTCTGAAAAATGGGACTTGGGATCCTAAGTCACTTAGGCACTTTTGAAAATTTTCACCCTGCGTCATCCTGGGATAAATGCCCATCTCAGCCAGTGAAGTCACTAGGAAATCTCATCCCTTGCGGGACTGGACTTGAATTTCACAGACGACGAGGGCGCTCAGCAAATCCCAGGACTGGGAGCTAGCACCGAACATGTTTGGTCCCTTGGCGCACTCTCCTTCTATTGTATGAAAGAAAACAAGACTAATTTAAACCATATGTTGCAATGCCATAGTGACAGCATGGGAATGGCAGTCCAAGTGTGACAAACCAGCTGTCAGCAGTCACAGTTTTATAGAATGTTTTAATGAAAGGCGCTGGGAGAAGACTTTTTCATATGGGGATGAATGCTAAAAAGGGTGCGATTCATAATACCGTCAACTGAGCAGAGTGCTTTGTCTTGATTTTGCAAAGATCAGACATGTTTATATATTTTTCCTCCTTCCAAACAACAGTCCCATCTAAAGCAATGGGCTAAAATAGCAGAGACTGGGCACTGCCGGCAAGTATACAGCAGCCACAGAAGATTCCCTGCCTGACCCCCTAAATGACATCAGTGTGCCAAACTTGTGTAATGAGTCAAGGCCATATACACACACAAACACCGCAGTCCTCAGCTAAACCTGAATGTTTATGGGCCTGCCTCCTCGCACCTTTTTCATCCACTGCACAGCTCTGTAGACAGCAAGAAACAGTCCAGCGCTCTCTTGTCTGCGTCCTAATTGCCATAGCTGATTTTATCTCCAGTCGGTACACTTTAAGATTTACCATCCCCTGTTTAATTCCTTTCATTCCTCCATCAGAATGTTTGGATCATTTTCTTTGATCTCTGGTATAAAAGGTTGTTTAACCTTAAAAGTTTTTTTTTTTTTTTAATTTTTTTTAAATTTTTTTTTTTTTCTTCTTTTTAATTAAAAAAAAAAAAAAAAAGCAGCAACCATCACATCATCAAAAATCTGTTAAGTGCACAGGCTAAGGGTTATTCTTTTTTTCCCTCCCCAGTGTACTCTTGAAACAAAGCATTACCATAGCAACAGCCACTGCTGCTCCCTAGATAAGGAGTGCAGGAGCACACAGCAGCAGCAGTGAAGAACGTTCCTGCTTCAGTGAGTGCTGACTCTGTATCACACCCATCCCAGAGCCTTTCACCGGTCGGTAAGTACGTCTGCACACAGGCACTTTACCTTTGCTTGAGTAACAATTTTTTTGCAGTCACCAGGACCAAGTTAGTTACAGTCATTTGATATTTTCTAGTTGCACTTCTGTAGACTATTATCTATACCAATGCTGAGCTTGCAGTAAAGTTCAGGACTCCAAGGACTCCACAGGATAGATTTGGAAGAAGTAAACATATGATACCATATGGTGAAAGTTGGAGGTGGACTGAGCTGTGAATGGGAACGCTGGGATGGCGGATGAAGTGCTATAAAGACAAATGTGTCAATTTATTTTAATTGCAGTGTTATTTCATGGACAAATTGTGCAAATTGACAGAATATGAAAGATTCTTAGGATTTTATCCAACTAAAAAGAAATGACATGTGTAGGGTATGTTTTGCTCCTAGAGGAATTAATTAGGCAAGGTTTTGCATATTTAATCATCTCCAAGTACAGCAACTTTTTTTGTCAGAAACTCAGACATTTTATTCTGCTTTTGATCCATTATTCAAGTTTAGCTGCTGCTACTACAGGGCCTGATCCAAATCCCTGTGAGAGTCTCTCTCCATGGACTTGGCAGACTGTTCAAAATCAATTTTGTGGGCTAGGTGCAACACACTGAGTTATTTGTCAGAGGTTTGGGTGGACAAAGAATGCACAGTCCGGATTTTAAACACATGCAGTATTATGTATCGTAGAGATGGTACATTTTAAGGCTGCTTTATAAAAACAAATTCAGACCACGTTGGTGAGAGTTTTTGGAAACAACAACCTAGTGTCAAATGAAACTTTTAACCCTGGAGTAGAAACTTTGTATAATGTTATCAGGGCTCAAGTCGAGGCAAGTTACTCTGATGAGGTGGTATAAAACCACAGTGATCAAACTGCCAGTGAAGAATTTCATTTAGAGACCTCTTGAAAAAAATAGTCAGTCTCCTTGTGTATGACATACATTTTCTAATCTTAATGTGCTTAATTCAAAAACCTACCAGAGGACTTACTTGTGCGGGTGGCAGAATATAATCGGGGTATAGAAGAAAGAGCACACTCTCTAGTAACAAAATCAAATCTTCACTTCTGATCAGAGGAGAATGGACCATTCTCCACTGCCTTGCTCCTGGAATAGTCATTTTCAGCTGTGCGAAGTGAGTGCGTAGTAGGCGTAAAACACTATTGTACTGGAATGGTAGCATTTTACACCCACTTTGCACAGATGTAAATGGCTGCACTAGGTGCAAAACAGGAATGAACTGAGCCTCTGGCTCTTTTTTAGGGCTCAATCATAAGGTCTCTTGCTTTCCCATAGAGGGGACTAAGGTGATTCCCCACTCTCCCGTATGTGCTATCCACATTGTAAGAGCCTCCAAAGGATTGGGGGCAGGGGAGAGAAGCTGCCAACAGGCAGGCAGGGGTTGGAAGCCTGCCTACACCACCCCTTCATGCAGATGCCAGCACCTCTGAGTCGACAGAGGGGAAGCACTAGCAAAAAGGCTGGCACAGCTTATTTCCCCCTTGGTGTGAAAAAGCACCAGCTTGTGATTCTTGAAGTCACAGGCCAGGTCTACGCTACAGAAAAATCCACACACCCCGAGCGACGGTGGGAAGGCTTCTCCCGTTGACATAGCTACCACTTCTCAGGGAGGTGGAATAGGGCTTGCACAGACTAGCCACCTTCCTGAGTGACGTAAGTTACACCGAAGTAAGTGCTAGTGTGGACAGCGCTAGGTCGGTGGGAGAAGCTCTCTCACTGACATAGCTACCGCCGCTTGGGGAGGCAGAGTAATTTTGCCGATGGGAGAGTTCTCTCCATCAGGATAGAGCGTCTGCACTAGCAGCACTACAGCTACATTGGTACAGCTGTGCCACTGTAGTGATTCTACTGTAGACTAGCCCTAAGTATGCCAACAGGAGAAGCTAGGAGCATCTTCACTTAAGCAGCACAGCGCAGCTGCGCCGATGCAGCCTGTTAAGTGCAGACCTGCCCACAGTCTGATTCATGTCCTGCCACTGGGACAGTGCAGCCCTTCGCTTATATGTCCATTGGGCAACACCCTATCAAATATTCATAGTTACCACTTGCAGCTCTATAGTACATCAATAGCAGCTAGAAAAGCATTGCTCACTTACATGCACACAAACACATTCGCAATCCCACCTCCAAATTTAAGGCCCTAGCTGGCAGCCCTTACTCACACAAAACAGTCCTATCAAAATAAGAGGATCGGATTCTGCTCCCATTAAAGTCAGTGAAGATTTTTCCATTGGCTTCAGTGGAAGCAGGATTGGGCTCAAAGGAGGGGGCCAGGCCTTTAATCTCTCATACCCTGTTTTTCTTTTCATCGAAATTTGATTGCTAAGAAGGGAAAAAACAAACAAGAAAATAATCGGCACACAGCCCTTTCAACAAGCAGTCCCTGTCCTTGTCTCAGAACATTATAATTAAAACTGGAAGAAAAATATTTTGGGTTATTAGTCAATAGCATTTTCCTTTTCAAACACTATACAAAAGTTCACGTTAATTATTGGCAAGTGTATATTTTTAATTAAGTGCACTGGGTCCAGGGGAAGTGTAAGTACCTTGCATTATAACTGTTTCTATGGTAACATTTTTATTAACTAGCAGAATAAATATTCATATTAAACCTGCATTACTTACCACAAAAGAGTCTTCTCAACAGCTGTTATTAATGCACCATCCATGCCAACGTTTCAAAGGTCTCTTCAACGATGACTCATAGATTACATGCTGGGGGGTTGCTCTTATTTTTCTTGGTGACCACATTGCTTATGGGCTCAGATGACCCTCTGGGTGAATAGAACATCCAGGGGCTAGCATGAGAGATGTGTGCACTACTGAGCCATTAGAAGGCGCACCTTGGGTAAAGCTTGCAAGGGTTCAACATACATTTTATAAATCTACACTATACATGGAAAACTTGCAATAGAAATTTGTAATAAATCACCCCCCTTAATGTGAAACATTAAGGTCTATTGTCATCTACAATTTCAGCAGGAGTTCGCTTTGTGACTATGGTTGCAATTGCTGTTAATGTTAACAGAAGCTAAGAATAGCCCTGCTGGTGTATCATCTGACATCTAAACAGTCATTTATTACTTATGCAACTTTTTAATCTTCATGTAGTTATAGTAAAAGAAAGTCTCAGCCAGTTTTAAGCAGATGTCATTTGGATGGAACTGAAGGGCATGATTTTCAACGATGGGCTGTGCACTGAAAGATAAAAATAGCAGAATTCAGCATGCACGTTGTCCACTTAGATGGACACCTCTGTGCACAAACAGTACTTTGTTTGTACAGTCAGGCAGATGGGCAAGGCAACTGGGCACATGCAATCATGCATGGCTGTCTTTAAAAGCCAGGCCCCAAATGACCTAGTTATACTTATTTTGCAAGGTAACTGCTGTTGCAGCACATTTGTCTGTTGTTGATTGAGAGGTACAGGTGCACTTTTAGGTTTCTTTGTGCGGTGACACTTATACCGTTAATAAAAGCAGCGATAGGCTAGTAATAAAACCTCAAATCCCCAAACCTTCAAATTCCATTATAAGAGCCATTCATATTTGACACACACCCCATCATCCCCTCCATGAATCCAAAGCTAGCCCTACAGTTTTAGTCCCACGTCAGAATCAAAATGTGACCAAGGCCTATTTTGTTTTTATTTTGTTTCAAATGTGATGAAAATCTCACACAGACAGGTTTTTCTCATGAGATTTCAGTCCAGGAGTGTTAACATTTCACAGGAGCAGTTGATTTCACAAGATTTCCATCAATTTGGGCAGAAATCTGTGAGAACAGCACTCTTGAATCTAACCCTAAACCCTAGCCTTTCTATGACCTAAAGTTAAAACCTGAGCTAAACCAAATTTAGATTTAAAAAACTGCTTGCTTTGCCCCGTCTATGTAAAATACTCTTATCTAATTGAAAACTGGATTAAACTTCAGTGGAAGGTGATTTTCAATACAGGAACTCCTCACTTAACATTGTAGTTATGTTCCTGAAAAATGCTACTTTAAGCGAAATGATGTTAAGTGAATCTAATTTCCCCATAAGAATAATGTAAGTGAGTGTGGGGGGGAGGTGGGGTTAGGCTCCAGGGAAATTTTTTTTGCCAGACAAAAGACTATATTTTATATATATATACACACACACACATATACACAGTATAAGTCTTAAACAAACAATTTAGTACTGTACACAGCAATGATGATTGTGAAGCTTGGTTGAGGTGGTGAAGTCAGAGGGTGGGATATTTCCCAGGGAATGCCTTACTGCTAAATCACAAACTGGCACTTGGCTGAGCCCTCAAGGGTTAACACATTGTTGTTAATGTAGCCTCACATGCTACAAGGCAGCACGAATTGAGGGTGGGGAGACAGCATGGCAGAGAGAGACAGAGACACATACCATGTGTGTGAGCGACGCACATTGCCCCTTTAAGTACGCTGACACCACTCTAAGTACATTGCCTTTTTAAGTAGATCAGCAAGTTGAGACAGCAGCTGCTTCCAGCAAGCTCCCTCCATCCTGAGCCCTGTCATATTCCCCCCTCCCCCAGCTCTATGGAGATGGGGTAAAGGAGCGGGGGGGGCAGAAGTGGGGGGGGGCAGGGAAACACCCTGACATTAGCACAGCAATGCACAGCAAGCAGGAGGTTCCCGGCAGCAGCTCCAAGGCAGAGGGCAGGAGCAGCACATGGCAGTGGAGGGAGGGACAGCTGAACTGCCCAGCAATTGATAGCCTGCTGGGCGGCTGCCAGACAGGGAACTTAGAGGAGCTGATAGGGGGGCTGCCGGCCCACCCTGGTTCCAAGTCCCCACCAGCTAGTTCCAATGGGCTGCTCTTCCTGCAAGAAGTGGAGAAAGCAGGCGGCTGCCAAACGACGTTATAATGGAGCATTGCGCAACTTTAAACAAGCATGTTCTCTAATTGTTCAGCAATGAAACAACGTTAACCAGGACGACTTTAAGTGAGGAGTTACTGTCTAGCATTAAAACCTTTCAATTTTGGCAATTAAAGTAATCACTTACTGCCAGGAAGGTAGGTTTTTTTGTAGAAAGTGTAGATGTTTTCTTTGTGGTAAAAGAATGCACCTGGAACATCTGTATATGTACTTTAAGGTGTTTTAATAAAGTCGTCCAGTGAGTAAAATTCCTGGTCAAAAGGATTGCCTCATTTTTGCTGTGTTCGCCTTGGACCATTTAGCAATTTACTGACATCAAAGGAGGTGTTAGCGGGTGAGATGTTCCAGGTATTCTTCATCTGCCTTTCCATCCCCTGAACATATGACGGCCCAAAGGATTCTAACTATCATATGGCCATGACTCAGCAAGTGAGCTAATCCCAAGAGGAACTGGATGGCTTTTAGTAATCTACCCAGAGTCACTGTTTTTTTCAGTCTATCCGGCCATTCCCCAATCCTCCCCATCCATAAGGACGGTCATTAAAATTTTATGCCATGTGCTTTCACAATTAGCAACACATAGTCAACCTGCTCCAAAACTTGAACTCATTAATAGCTAAAAGAGAGCACTTGTGAACACTCCCCACCCCCTGCCCCACCCGGTCTCAGCCTTTGCTAACCCAAGGAATGAGAATCTAGGTAACCCTTCCAGCCCAAAAGTCAGTCTAAATTCTTGCACAGTCCTAATTCTGATGCAAAACTCTGCATTCATACAGAAAAAGTCTCACACTGGGCCAAATGAATCCCTCCTATAACTCTGCTGAAATCACTGGAGTTGCACGAAGGATGAATTATTATCTCTACATATGTATCTATCTTAATCCATCATGTACAATAATTTCCTTAAAAGGTGATTGATGTCGAGCAGAGAATGCAGAATGTCTTAGCATGTAGTCCAGCTGAAAAAGAGCTGCATTCAAGATGCTAAAATATGAGCTCAAGAAAATATGTGCTTCCATTTCAAAGAGGAAATTAGTGATTTGTATTAATTATCTTCACATTTTTCTCTTCTAGAATTTTTGAACATTATTCAATAATTCACTTCTTGGGTGTCAGGATTTTATTTTATTGCTTTGTGAAAGCACATTTAGAATTCTTCAGTTATGTGCAGATAAACTGTGCGTGACTTTCTGTTCTAAGTCCCATTGCACCTAGATGCTTTGAAAAAATTTACACTTCAAAGCAGCCTGCGAAGGTTTTGCAGCTTTCTAAAACTGAGACTAGCAGTGGGCAAACCTCAAAAGCTTGAAGGGTCAACCTCATCACTAGTAGCCACACAACCCTTTACATCCAACGAAGCAGGTATTCACCCACGAAAGCTCATGCTCCAATACATCTGTTAGTCTATAAGATGCCACAGGACTCTGAGATAAATCAATTACAGCAGGATACCAAGAGAGGAAAAATAACTTTTGAAGTGGTAAGAGAGTGGCCCATTACAGTTGACAAGAAGGTCTGAGTAACCGTAGGGAGAATTAGTATTGGGGAAATTAAGTTTAGGTTTTGTAATGACCCAACCACTCCCAGTCTTTATTCAGGCCTAATCTGATGGTATCCAGTTTGCAAATTAATCCAGTTTATCTTGTTAGACTGACCTCACACTTGGTAAAGAAACCCCCATCCTTTCATGTATTTATACCTGCTCCTGTATTTTTCATTTCATGCATCTGATGAAGTGGGTTCTAGCCCACGAACGCTTATGCCCAAATAAATTTGTTAGTCTCTAAGGTGCCACAAGGACTCCGCGTAGATTTTACTCATCATTACGTATGGTTTCCAGTTCTGTCCTACCAAAAGTTAATGGCCCACCATTAATTTGAAACTGTCACACTTCTTTCTACATTTTTATTGTTGTTGCAAACACCACCTAAAATGACTATAGCTGAAAGGGATTAGAGAAGCAACCAAAAAAAAAAAAAGTTTTTCCTTTATTTTTCCAGCATGCTTAATTTGTGCATTTGACAGCACTTCCTGCTCTATGGTCAGTTTCACTGTTTCCCCCTGGATACTACACATTTGTTAGTCAGTTTTCCCTGTCAGTGTGGATCTGTTGCAGCAACATGAATGAAAAAATCATTTGTAAAAACAGGAAACTGTTGTTGTAAAACCATTCCTCCCCCCACCCCCCAAAAAAAAATATTAGTATGTATTTACAGTGCCTACCACAGTGGTCCTCTGGTCCTTGAGTGAGGGCTCTAAATTAGTGGCTCTCAACCTTTCCAGACTACTGTACCCCTTTCAGGAGTCTGATTTGTCTTCCATACCCCCAAGTTTCACCTCACTTAAACTACTTGCTTACAAAATCAGACATAAAAATACAAAGTATCACAGCACACTATTGCTGAAAAATTCCTTACGTTCTCATTTTTACCATAGAATTGTAAAATAAATCAACTGGAATATAAATATTGTGCTTACATTTCAGTGTATAGTATATAGAGCAGTATAAACAAGTCATTGTCTGTATGACATTTTAGTTTTTACTGACTTCACTAGTGCTTTTTATGTAGCCTGTTATAAAACAAGGCAAAGATCTAGATGAGTTGATGTACCCCTGGAAGACCCCTGCGTACCCCCAGTGGTACACATCTTGGTTCCCTCTAAGGTGAGTGCCTGCACAGCTGCGCAGGAGGCCACCAAGGGCCGTGCAGGCGTGCACACTGTACTCGGGCGTGGGGTGAGGTGGGGGGTGGTGATGTGGGAGCTTGGGGGCATGCAAGGCTGCGACAATTCCCCCAGCCCCGGGGCTGCAGCACAGTGAGGAGAGAGGCCTCTCCCCCCAGCCTGGGGCTGCAGCGGGGCAAGACGCCTTTCCCCCAGCCCCAGAGCTGCTGCGGCCAGGGAGAGGCCCCTCTCCCCTAGTCCCCGCCCCAAGGCTGCTGCGGCAGAGAGAGATGCCTCTCCCCCAGCTCAGGTGCTGTTGCGGGGAGAGAGGACTGGGGGGAATCCTCTCTTCCCACCGCAGCCCCTGGCAGCCTGCACCCCAAAACCCTCTCCCCGGCCCCACCCCAGAGCCCTCACCCCCCTGCACCCCAACCCTTTGCCCCAGCCCTGAGCCCCCTCCTGCACCCTGAACCCCTCATCGCCAGCCCCACCACACATAACCTCTATATTGGTGCACATAACAAAATTCATTCCACACATGGATGAGAAAAATTAGATGGAACACTGGTACATGTACCGCCGGTTGAGAACCACTGCTCTAAATAAATAAATGAATAAATAGCATTAACACTAACACCGACAACAAATATCAGGGGGACTCAGAGACTGGTATAGAACCTGGAACTGCTTTTAAGTTACAATTAGATTTCAAGTTGACTGTGTCCCTTTAAATAGATTCCTTCTAAACTAATTGTTAAAACCCCTCCCATCTGGCCTGCTCTTTTTTAGGCTGGCAGATGTTGCTTTAGAATCTGCAGTTTTGCATTCATCAGTGGGAGTGGGGGGGTGGGGTCAGAAGGCAGTAAGCCCATACAGCTCACAAGCGCTCCAAGATCAGCCAGGCCAGCAGTGGCTGTATGGCAAAAATCACTTTGAAAATAGGAACTTCCCAGGGCTGGATGGAAGGAGCTGATTGGCACAGAATATAACCTCGGGAGTCAAAAAAATCTTACCGCGTTATAGGTGAAACCGCATTATATCAAACTTGCTTTGATCCACCGGAGTGCGTAGCCCCGCCCCCCCGGAGCACTGCTTTACCACGTTATATCCGAGTTCATGTTATATCGGGCCACATTATATCGGGGTAGAGGTGTATATCTGTTTTATGGTATGCTTCTTTTTGTTGTTGTAGCTTCAAGAGAAAACCTTTTCAATGATGTCAACAGAGTATGTGCAACCACTTGATATCCCAGAAGACAGATTGGACAAGCGAGACTCACACTGCAACCGTTTAGGTAAGTGTTATTATGGTGATGTCAGTGACTTGTAATTAGAGAGGTGTCTTCTTTACATCATTAAGTACTGTCCATTGGCTTTTTCTTTCCAAGAGGTATAACTGAGCCCTCGTGAAACCCGATAGACTATGCCTTCTGGTAACACATCTGCTGCCAGATGGACAGGCAAAGGGTGTCTTTCCTGCATATAAATATTAGCTGAAGCTCTAGAAGGAAATTAATTAAAGAGAGGAAAGGAGAAAGAGTCATTTTCTTTTTCGTAACAGAGAAAGAGAAGCACTTTTATCGATTATACAATAATAAACTGGAAGCTAAGATATATCTGAGCCTTCACTACACCCACTTTCTATGTGCAATTTCAGTAAAAGTTTTCAAATATTCCTTTAGCCTATATTTGGACAGAATTTAAATTTTTTTCCCCTTTATTGTCAATCTGTCTCCTTTCTGGAGCTGACTTTTTACATAACTTTTGCACTTGGAGTACCAGAGGCATCTCTGCTCATACACACTTCTAAATATGAGGCTTTCAAGACTTTGATAGATGTGACTTTTGCATATTTTTGCGTTTTGCATATTCGCCTTTGCTTCACATGTCATTACTTTATTCCAACCTTCCAAAATTGTCATGAAGATTTGCTAACCCAGGCACAAAAATCTACTTGACTACCCGTACACTGGTGATAATAATGAAATACAAATGCTATTTTATTTGTCCCAAGCAAGTAGAATTTTGCAAGCCTGCTTTACTCACACACAATCAAGATGTCTGAGTGTGATTTCACCCTGGAAGCACAGATCAGGGCTCTTTTATGGTAGGGGCTATATAGAAACAAAATAAAAAATGTCTCTCTTCTGAAGAACTTACCATCTAAATAGACAAAACAGACAAAAGATGTGAGAAAGGAAGAACTATTATCCCCATTTTACAGGTGTGGAACCGAGGCACACAGGAATAAATGATTTTACTCAAGATCACATGGGAAGTCTGTGGCACAGCTGAGCATTGAAATCCAAAACTGCTGAGTACCAGTGCAGTGCCTTAATTGTGAAGTCATTCATCCTTACTTTCACTAGTCCATGGAAGTATGATGGTGTGAAATCTAGGATGTGAAATCAGAATCAGGCCCCTTTTGTTAAGCAAAGTTTCTAACTGAAAAGCAAAGCTGACAAATCCAACCAAAGCCAAATTTAAAAACCAGACCTCTGGTTTGTGTGCTATTAGTGATGGGTCAACCTCAAAAGACTCAATTTGTTCAGCTTGACTAAGCATCCAGAAATTTGGGTAATTGTCTAGAATGTACCCAGACTATCTGATGAGTCAAGTCCTGCTTCAATATACACTGGTGCAAATCCAGAGTAACTCCACCAAAGTAAATAGGAGCTGTGGGTAGAGAGGACCTCTTAAAATTAGTCCTATTATTTAGGTGTCTAAATATGGCATCTAAGATTGAAAATATTAGCCTTAACGTCTGTGTCACCCTATCTATAATATGGGTATAATTCTTCCCTTCTTCACTGTGAGGTTTAATTCTCTAAGGCCAGCATAAGGTACTTAATTCTCACTTATTCCCCGTTTTTAGTGGTATTAAGGCCCTTGTGATCAGGGCCGGCTCCAGGCACCAGCGCAGCAAGCAGGTGCTTGGGGTGGCCAAGGGGAAGGGGCAGCACGTCCGGCTCTTCGGCGGCAATTTGGCAGCGGGTCCCTCGGTCCCTCTCGGAGGGAAGGACCTGCCGCCGAAGAAGAAAGCGGATTGCGATCGCGGCTTTTTTCTTTTTTCCCCCCGCCGCTTGGGGCGGCAAAAACCCTAGAGCCGGGCCTGCTTGTGATGGCCTTCTGTGCAGAGGTGAATTTACTTTGTGTTTTAACCAGCTATGGTGTAAGTATTGTTATTAAAGTGAGCCCTTTTTTAAATTCTGTGATTCATTATTTTCTATTAGCTAGGTATTCTTTATTTTTTCCACGCAGATGACCTTTCAGAACAGTTCATTAAGAATTGTGACCTAAAAAAGAAACCAAGAAAGGGTAAAAATATCCAGGCTTCCCAGAACAGTGAGCTGGAACAGAAAAAGCCAAGGAGAAAGGATACACCTGCCTTACACACCCCACCACCTATACCAGGTAACACAACTTAATAATATTGAAATCTGACAAACCCCTGATGTTTCCTGGTTTACTTGTATTCACTAGGAATTGAATAAAAATATTACTGTCCTCAATTCTCCTACATCTGTGTGTGCCTACTTATGGCAGGGAGGGAGAATAGGATTCTCAAAAGCACTCGGTGTTGAAATGTATGAAAAATTCACACCCCTGAGACACATCGTTAATCCGACTAAAGCCCCATGGTGTGTACACACAGTTAGGTTGACAGAAGAATTCTTCCATCAACCTAGCTACCGCCCCTTGAGGAGATGGATTAACTACATTGATAGAAAATACCCTTCCCTCAGTGTAGCAAGTGTCTACACTACGGCACTACAGTGGCCCAGCTCCAGCACCATAGTTGTGCCACTGTAGTGTAAGCATACCCTGAGTATATTAAGTTAGATGGGTGCAATTTTTATCAATGTAGACGAGGTTTAAGTAATATTTATTGTGTGTCGTTCCCTGCAGGCATCCTCTCAGACTTTTCAGAACATTTAATTAAAAGGTGTGACATCACCGAAAAACCACAGAAGGGTAAAGTGAGTTCAGTCTCTCAGCTCACTGATCAGGAACAAAAAAAACCCAGGAGAAAAGATACACCTGCAATACACATCCCACCCCTTATACCAGGTAAGAGCATTAGCACAGTTTTCAAAGGTAAAAAGTAAAGGGCAGTTAGTTTAGGAACACCCTCTGGAAGTGTATGGGACACCATTTATCTGCCCACTCTGCTTAACTTATCTAATCATGCCTACTTTGATCTACTTATTTTTCTTATTCCCAATTGGAATTATTGTTATTATTTGTGTTGCAGTAGTGACCAAAATGTGCTAGGTTCTGTACAAAGATAGGACTCAGTCCCTGTTCTGAAGAGCTTACAATCTGAAAGAAATTGGGAAAGGGAGATCTCTTTTGACTTACCCTTGCTGAGAAATAAGAATGAGTTCAGAGTTCAAATTAAAAAAAGAACGGACCCAAATCTTTGCCCACAATTTGACTTCAATTTGACCACTTAGATTGTAAGCTCTTTGGGGGCAGGAGCAGTTTCTTGGTTGTGGGTTTGTATAGCTCTAAACATGACGGGGTCCTGGTCCGTGGCTGGAGCCCCCTAATGCTGGCGTAATACAAATAATACATACTAATGGCAAAGGGGAGTATTTGAACTCATCCAAGCCCCTGGAGGGTCACCTATCAATAAACGAATCCTCCAGTTTTTGTTGGGACCAGAATTTTGTTATCAGTTTAAATGGATCCAATCAGTCTTCTCCTCACCTCTCACCCATGTAGTGAATGGTGAAAGCTGAAGGCAGGAGGCAGCATGGTTTAATAGATAAAGCACAGGACTAAGAGGCAAGAACACCTAACTTGTTATCCTGGCTCTGCCATTGACTTGCTGTGTGGCCTTGGGAAAGTCACTTAGACCAAAATTTGGGACCCTAAAATTAGACCCTAAAATTAGGCACTTGAATCCATCTCTAGGCTTCTAATTAAAGCATAGCATGATTATTGGTTGTGCTGAGCACCTTTAGTCCTGAGTGAATTTTAGGTCCTGATCCCTCACTGTGGCCAAGCACATTTCAGGAAGGGCTCTTGTGGCCCCTCTGCTGCCGTGCTGCAGGATTGAGGGAGGAGAAAAGGGGTTCAAATTATAGCCAGCCCCTATTCCAAGCATCCGTAACAGCATTGAGGGACTGTCAGAAGGCCCCAGCGATGCCCCCTAATCCAGCTGCAGGGGCATAACGAGCATATGAGACTATCTCACTGGAAGATCATGATATACACTGAGGTGATCCGGCAGTGGTGGCCATCCAGCCAACAATGGCTTCAGGGCCTTTTTGTGGCGGTGGTACAACCGGAGAGGCTATGGAGCAGCTAACTAGCTTGGGCATCCATATGGACTCAGCCACCCAAATTTGAACATTGTGCCCTTAATTACTTTGTTTTTTAGTTTTCCTATCTGCAAAAAAGACACTGCTCCTTACTTTCCCTACACCACAAATGTGTTGTTAGCCTTAATTAGCTAATGTTTGCACAGTGCTTTGAAGATGTAAAGTGCCACATCAGCGTCAAATATTACTACTGTTCAGGGAGGAGTGAGCTATTGCCAGTCAGAAGAAGCAATGTCTCAGCTGTTTCCAAATCACTGGGGAGGGAGGGACAGCTCCAAATCTAGTGTTAAATGGTTCATAAAGTAAGATACCACTGGAGAGGGACACTTACTAGATAGTAAGGAGCACTAGAAAAGAAAAGGCCTAAGGACCTGATTCAGCAAAAGCATTTAAGTGCATGCTTACATTTAGAAACAGTTGGCACAAAGAGAGAGAGAGAGAGAGAAACAAAGGAAAGAAAATTATAGAGGGGGACAACGATAAGAGGCACCTTAGAAATATTTCCACCAGACTGATGGGAAAAAAATCCAAACAACTAAAAAAAGACCTGAGGAAATGTAAGCCCTTTGGGGCCAGATTTCCAATGGTATCTCAATACCTAAAGTTACAGATAGGCATCACCTGGAATTTACAGAATTGTCTAAACAGGTTAGGCACCTAAATGTGTGATGCTTCCCAGGGGCACCCAAGGTTGGGTGGTACCTTACCACCACCAGCCCTTTGCCTGAGGAAGTCTTGTCTGTACCTGCTGTGGGTCAGCTCCCTGAAACCACCAGCCTCTGGCAGCACAATCACTTCTTTCCAGGCCTCCGCAGGTCTCACTTTCTGTATAAGCAGTGATAGGCACACACCAATCCCCGAGTACTGCAAGCATGCCCTATTCCTTTGAACACACACACACACAACTAGATCTGCTGTTCCCAAAGGAATAGCACACACCATCTCATAAGCATCTGCTCAGAGTCCCTGCTTTACTTAACACATAGCATTTAGATAGATAGATAGATAATTTATTCTTGTTCCCACTAATCTTATCAAAGAACAGAGATTCAAGTGATAGAGAGTGAGAATATGGGAAACAAATGGTTACAGATAAAACAAAATAATAACATGCATTCTAGAGACTAAACTTAACTAACAAAGTATTCCTCCATCTCCTAAAGATAGCTTACCCCAAGTTCTTTCCCCAGGGTTTTCTCCAGTTTGTCTAAGACTTCTCATCAGATCAAGCCCACTGGCATATTGTCCTCACAGATTGAAGGAATGAGGGTGCATCTCCTTAAACACCTGAAAGTTAATTGTCCTTACTTTAAACAGGGCTCTCCCCTACTGGTTCACTTCTTTCTGTAAATTTCTTCTCTTTGAAGATTTCTCAATCCTCCATTAGCATTCAGCTCAGACTATAGGCGGAGGCCCATTGTAAACCATAAAATACGTAATTTACATGTAAACAAGACAGATAACCATTTCTTGCCTGAAAGAAAATGTGGTTTTCCCTTTCTGCTGACCAGTCCCTAGTTACAGTCCGTAACGACATAATTTTCAGTATATATACACACAACTCCTTACTCAACATCCGTACGTATATATGGTCATGGTGAGCAGTGTGACGCAGGCTTTCATTAGAAAACTTACATGGCATTCTTTTGGTGAACCCAGGGGACCCCTATACCCCTATATAACCCTGTACCCTCTGCCAGTTGCCATCTCGAGGGTCTTGGGTCACAAACTCCTATTCAAATCAATGGGGCTTAGGTTGCTTTTGAAAATCCCAGTAGGCAACTATCTGCCTCTTTAGGTGCTTAAATATCTTTGTAAATCTGGCCCTTCCGAAGGGTCCCTGGTAATTCAGGGCATCTGCTCATGTGAGTAAGGTTGAGACTGTTTGGAGGATTAGGTCATAGAGTTTGGCAAGGTACTGGAAAAAATGAATCCACCAATATCCTACAAATTGCTCTGCACAATCAGACCTTAGCACCTGTGCCACCCCATTACAATCTAGTGTTGACTGACTTGCAGGATCAAGGCTTAAATTTGAATTTTTAAACAAATTTGCTTGTACTGCGTTTGCAAGCACTTTTGTCTTCCTTTCATTCAAATACTTTAGTTAACATGCCTGGGAGGTATGGGGAAATCAATTTTAAGTAAATATTGGAATCATTAGAGGCACCTAAATACCTTTGAGGATCTGGGCCTAGGTGATATATTTCCAATTGCAGCTGCTTCATTTTCAAATGTTAAATATCAAGTAGGACTGTCAAGCAATTAAAAAAAGTAATCACGATTAATCATGTGATTAAAAAATTTATTGCACTGTTAAACAATAGAATACCATTTATTTAAATATTTTTGGATGTTTGATTTCAGTTACAACACAGAATACAAAGTGTACTTTAGATGTATTTTTGATTACAAATATTTGCACTGTAAAAAAGCAAAAGAAATAGTATTTTTCAATTCCCTTATTACAAGTACTGTAGTTCAATCTCTTTATCATGAAAGTTGAACTTATAAATGTAGAATTATGTACAAAAAAACTGCATTCAAAAATAAAAATGTAAAACTTTAGAGCCTACATGTCCACTCAGTCCTACTTCATGTTCAGACAATTGCTCAGACGAACAAGTTTGTTTACATTTGCAGGAGATAATGCTGCCTGCTTCTTGTTTACAATGTCACCTGAAAGTGAGAACAGGCATTTGCATGGCACTGGCATCGCAAGATATTTATGTGCCAGATGTGCTAAAGATTCATGTATCCCTTGATGCTTCAACCACCATTTCAGAATACATGCGTCCATGCTGATGATGGGTTCTGCTTGATAACAATCCAAAGCAGAGCGGACCGACGCATGTTCATTTTCATCATCTGAGTCAGATGCCACCAGCAGAAGATTGATTTTCTTTTTTGGTGGTTCAGGTTCTGTAGTTTCCGCATCTGAGTGTTGCTCTTTTAAGACTTCTGAAAGCATGCGCCATACCTTGTCCTTCTCAGATTTTGGAAGCCATTTCAGATTCTTAAATCTTGGGCTGAGTGCTGTATCTATCTTTAGAAATCTCACATTGGTACCTTCTTTGTGTTTTGTCAAATCTGCAGTGAAAGTGTTCTTGAAACGAACATGTGCTGGGTCATGTGACAAAGTTCCTCTTCTGCCTTGGTAGCTCCTGCGCTTTTTGGCGGATTAGCTCTCCTCAGAGGTTCATGGCAGCCCTCAGTTTGGCCGCTTCTGCTCGAGGCTCAAACCTGCCATTCACTCAGCTAACCACATCACTGGCCAGCATGGGGGAAAAGGGAGAACAATCTCCGCTGTCTCTGTGTACCACCTAGTAGGTCGGGAACAGGCCAGATCCCTCAGCACCTTTATCCTCACACCACAGGACTTTCCTCCTGAAGCCTGATCACGCTTGTACTCCTTAGTCCTCCAGTACCATGCCTTCTCACTCCCTGCTCCTTGCACGCCCTCCACTAACTGATGGGAGGTCCTTTTTAAACCAGGTGTCCTGATTAGTCTGCCTGCCATAATTGATTCTAGTATGTTCTTAATTGGCTCCAGGTGTCTTAATTAGCTTGCTTGTCTTAATTGGTTCTAGCAGGTTCCTGATTGCTCTAGCGCAGCCCCTGCTCTGGTCACTTAGGGAACAGAAAACTGCTTATTCAGAGGCCAGTATATCTGCCTTCTACTGCTCTGCTGTACCCAACTGGCCTGGGTCTATCACAGTCATCATCCAAGACTGCCATAAC